AATATCCTAAAATTCGACAACCACAAGAACCAAATGTCTGTGCCTTATGTTATATACGCCGACTTTGAAGCCTTGGTCAAACCTGTTGAGGCTGTTGGGGATATCCCAACAGGTGAGAGCTTCACACACAAAAGACAGGAGCATGAAGCCTGTGGGTTTGGATACATTGTCGTCCGTTGTGATGGGGAAACGAAAGCTCCCGTAGTGTATAGGGGTCCCGACGCGGCTGAAAGGTTTCTAAAGTGTTTGCAGGAGGAAGAGAAAATTATCAGGAATGCGCTGTATACAATCGCCCCCATGCGTATGACCCGAGCCGACCGACTAGCTCACGCCTGTAGCACTAATTGTCACGTGTTTGACTCACCACTGAATGGTGATTCCGTGAGAGATCACTGTCACGTAACCGGTAAGTATAGAGGCGCCGCTCACAGCGCTCGTGTAACCTCAAGCTTAGAATCAACCCTAAGATAATAAACATCCCCGTTTTCTTTCACAACTTGAGAGGGTATGACTCTCATTTGATCATGCAGGCCATCGCGAAAATCGATGGTAATATAACGTGCATCCCCAACAACATGGAGAGATACATCTCCTTCAGCTTAAACGGTCTTAGGTTCATTGACTCGGTTCAGTTCCTACTGTCCTCACTCGACAGTCTGGTCAAGGCCAACGATACCTTCCCTATTACCGATCGATACACAGACGCCGAGACTAGACCCCTGCTGATGAGGAAGGGTGTGTACCCCTATGAGTACATGGATGGCTGGGCCAAGTTCACCGAGACCAGACTACCCCCCATCAAAGAATTTTATAGTAATCTGACCGACTCGGAAATATCCCAAGATGATTACTCGCACGCGATTAACGTATGGAATAAACTGGGTTGTAAGAACCTGGGTGACTATCACGACCTGTACTTGAGGACAGATGTACTGCTGTTAGCCGACGTGTTTGAGACGTTTAGGCGGACATGTTTCAAGCAGTATAAACTCGACCCCGCATGGTATTACACCAGCCCAGGTCTGTCGTGGGATGCCTTGCTTAAAAAGACCGGAGTTAAGTTGGAATTGCTTACAGATTATGACATGCACCTATTCATTGAGAAAGGCTTGCGAGGTGGGATCTCCATGGCAACCAAACGATACGCGAAAGCAAATAATCAATACGTGAAGGGCTACGACCCTAGCAAGCCAACCAATCACATTCTCTACCTCGACGCAAACAACCTGTACGGCTGGGCTATGAGCCAGTATCTACCCACAGGGGGATTCGAATGGGCGTCACATGAGGTCGATGTTATGAGCATCGCGTCAGATTCGAACAAAGGTTATATCCTCGAGGTTGACTTGGAGTACCCCAAGGCATTACACACATCACACAACAGCTACCCCCCTGGCCCCCGAACGTATGAAGGTTAACCCAGACTGGATGTCTGAGTACCAACATAACTTGTTAGGTGGGCGGGTGGCAGACGTGCCTAACTTAATGAATAAGACCAAGTACATCGTTCACTATCGCAACCTACAGCTGTACATGTTGTTGGGTATGAGGCTGACCAAAATACACAGGGTGCTCGTGTTCAACCAGAGCCCCTGGATGGAGCCCTACATCAGAATGAACACAGACCTCCGAAAGCTTGCCACCAGTGACTTTGAGAAAAATCTCTACAAGCTCATGAACAACTCGGTGTTCGGTAAGACTATGGAGAACCTGAGGAAACGCGTGACCGTGAAGCTGGTTCGATCGAATGAGGAAGACAAGCTCAGGAGACTGATAGCCAGTCCGGCATTCAACCGTAGCAAAATATTCACCGATGACCTAGTTACCCTACACATGAAGAAAAGCCACATAAAATTCAACCGGCCTGTTTACGTGGGGATGAGCATCCTCGATTTATCCAAACACCTGATGTACGACTTTTACTACAACAAGCTTAAGAAACAGTACGACGACAGGTGTGAAGTGCTGTACACTGACACAGATTCCCTGCTGATGGAGATTCGAACCGAGGACGTGTACGATGACATGAAAAAACACCTCGATTTGTACGACACCAGCGACTACCCCAAGGACCATGCCATACACAGCACGGTAAATAAAGAGGTCCTAGGTAAGATGAAGGACGAGTGTGCTGGCACGCCCATAGCCGAGTACATAGGGTTGAGGCCTAAGATGTACTCCATACTGAAAGCCGACAATAGTGAGATCCGGAAGGCTAAGGGTGTTAAGAAGTACGTGGTTAAACAACACATCAAACACGCCAGATTCAAGGAAGCCCTGTTCAAGACCCGTACCTCTAGACATAAAATGAACATGCTTAGAAGTGATGGGCATAAGATATACGGACTGACTATAAACAAGACGTCCCTGTCGCCTATGGACACTAAACGTTGGATAGCTATGGATGGGATAAACACTTACGCGTACGGGCATGAGAAAATTGAACCAAGAACATAGGTGTATGTATAAATGTCGGGGCGACATGTCACGGAACCAGAGAAAGTTTGAGGCTATTTACTATAGCCCGCGTGGGTACTGGAAAGGAGCTAGCGCTGTATATAAGCTGGCTAAAATGGCGCGAGTACCCCCCGGAGGAGGCCAAAGCGTGGCTTGAAAAACAAGCCCTGTGGCAGATCTATTTGCCGCCACCTCGCTACGTGCCTAGAAGGAAGTTTGGAATTAACATACCTAATAACGTTCACCAGGCAGACCTACTGTTCCTACCCCACGATAAGAGGTACAAGTATGCCTTAACCGTAGTGGACGTAGCCAGTCGCTACAAGGAAGCCGAGCCCTTGACCACGAAAGATTCTGCCCAGGTAGCCAGAGGATTCGAACGCATATACAAACGCAGTCCGCTGACGTGGCCAACAGAGCTGCAAGTTGACCCAGGGCGGGAGTTCATGGGTGCCGTGTCACAACTGCTAGCCAAACACGATACAAAGGTCAGGCGTGGCACGGCCGGAGCCCATCGCAGCCAAGCCATAGTTGAGAGATTCAATAGGACTTTGGCTGAGCGCTTATTCGGACATCAGTATGCTAGGGAGATGGCCACCCCGGGAAAACGATCGACTGAATGGGTCGTGTGAGGTTACCTAAGGTGGTGTCGGCAATCAACCATGAAGTCACCCGTCTCACCGGCAAGAAACCGGCAGACGCTATCAAACTAAAATAAATAGTGGCAGAGTCGCTTGCTCCATTGCGTGGGAAGGAGAAACAGATACCAGATAGGGCCCTAGTTAGGTATCTATACCAGCCTGGGGAACACGAGGGTGATAGCCGTAAGCGAGCCACTGACCCAATATGGTCAGTCAAAACTTACAACATAGATAAAGTGGACATCAAAGCAGACGAGCCTAACTTGTACTACTTGAGGGATGGGCCAGGCAGAGGACTCGTTAGACAGGAATTATTGATCGTACCGTACGGCACAATGTTACCTCCTGTCAACACGGCATAGTGTCACTTGATCAGGAAAGTGCTATCCCAGAATAGACCCATGTTTGTAAAAGACGAATGCCGGCATCGGTTGGTCAGGCTCGCTAACTTAGATCGCTGCTCATACTGTTAATCACTGGATTGCCTGGTCAGGAATCTTTTTATTTACAGAACGCCACCGGCCGGTGGGGTAGCCTAGTAGTTAAAGCGTTCACTCGCTACGCCGAAGGCTCGGGTTTGATTCCCCATATAGCGGCTAAAAAATTTCCGATGCGATTCGAACCACGGACCTTCTGATCCGAAGTCGGACGCCTTGTCCACACGGCGTAAGAAGTTAACTTGCAAGGTGTCAAGTTCAGGATGTCTTGTATGGGAAGACGCCATGCCCTGCTACCAATCATGGGTAAAATGTGTGAACACCATTTCTGATGTCCCCAGCCGTGATATTGCTGGAATATTGCTAAAAGCGCGCCCAAACCATACTCACTGACTATAGTTTGGCATGAAATGCATGTGGACCCGGTTTTTTTGTAAATATCTCATCATCCAATGATCCAATCGATCTCAAACTGTGCAAGTGGATGTTTTGTCAGACAACCTAATCACATTGTAAATCACCGATTTGATGCATTTGTATTAAAGAATCTGTCTATGTAACTGTCAACAAAATAAACAGTAGAACGCAGACTGCTTGCAGAGGGAGGGAGCCAATGACCTGTAACAGCGGCAGTGTTGGGTCATAAAGGTCAATGTTCGTCAACGTAGGTCAGCTATGCACGTGACAGGTATGAAGAGGTGTCACAGGCCATAATGCTGAAATATTAATGAATGCAGCGTTAAACAACCAACAAACAACAACATCACATTTCTGACTGTATTAATATGCGACCCTCAGAGCAATATATTCACGGAAGTATTTCCTCACTATTAAGTGTGTTACGAGTGGAGAGATCACACAACAATTTAAAATAGTTTTAATACTGGCAGTCTATACATATATACAAATGTTCAAAACAAGTATCATGGTATATGTTAAAAGTCTTACTTTGGTTATCACATGGATATACAATTGTTCCTGCTCCATCACATTCCTCAGAATAAAAACACATATAATCCTTCACATGAAATCACTCTATGCCGACATGGCATATTCAAGTAGACAGTTTAAACTTGCCGACATGGCCAATCCGTTCAGTTCACTCCCGACCTGGGCACTGATCACTTTGTGTGTTACCTGGCTTGAACAATTCAAAAACCCAAGCTACAATTATATAACATCGTTGTTTCATTACCCAAGCTTACTTATAGACAATGGAGAGTGGTCACTGGTAAGCATAGCTTCTCAATTAAGGTGAACAGGTATTTTAGGGAATGTAAATATATTTTAGAATGACTTCAGGTTTATAAATATATATACAGAATTATGTATAGATATATGACATTCTCATAACAAGTGTACGATCCAGTTTAATGAACATGAGTACAGCGCCAACAATCAAAAGACCACATCACTATGCGAAACAGAAACATCCCAGCAATTCTGTTTCCCTTTCATCGGGAAATACTAGAATATAACGCACTTGACACAGACAGTTTGTGAGTTTGACGTAGGTCTTCATGTCTTGAATGATATCTTTTTAGAGGTCGTTGAACTTTCTTTAGGACGTCGTCATCACCATGAAACCTTCTGTGTTTGGGACATTCCATTTCTGCTTGCTGTACTTCATTCATTCTGGAATATTTCTTCATGGTTGTGAAGGTATGTACATTTGTTTCAATGTGTTACCTCATGGTCAGAGATCGGTGAGTGAGTGAGTGAGTTGGATGTTTACGCATTAATATGTCGGGGGACACAAGAAATGGGCTTTAAACATTGTACCCATGTTGGGAATTGAACCCGGGTATTCGCTTGAACCACTAGGCTACCCCGCCGCCCCTATAGAGAGTGGAGTGTTAATATTGTGTCTCATGAACATTCGTCCAATAAACATCCATAAGATCATGTCGATGAAATGCATTTTGAGTTACAAATGGTATTGAACCCCTGACCCCCACCCCCACCCCACCCTGCCCCTTGATCCGCCAATGATATGGTACCATCTCACCACTTCATCTAAGGAAGTGTGTGTCTATTGTGAACATAACACTTTGTCCTTTGCAGTTTACAACAGCACAGGGTGTTTCTCGTGTCATTTAAAGCTGATAGCGGAAATATTTCTTCAACGATATTGCCTATAAACTGTTGTGATAACTATCACTTGACATATACCTAGCTGTCTAGCTGCCTACCTACCCACCTACCCACCTACCTACCTGCCTACCTACCTACCTACCTACCCACCCACCCAATTACATACTTACATGGGCGGTGGGGTAGCCTAGTGGTTAAAGCGTTGGCTCGTCACGCCGAAGACCCGGGTTCGATTCCCCACATGGGCACAATGTTTTAAGCCCATTTCTGGTGTCTCCTGCCGTGATATTGCTGGAATATTGCTAAAAGCGGCGTAAAACTAAACTCAGTCAGTCAGTCAGTCAGACATACTTACATAATTACATATATAATGATTGTGTGAATATCGAGAAATCTGAATCTTTGCAACAAACATCTGATATGCTATATTTTGTGATATATATTTGTGGAATGAATCGCATATATCTTATCCCGGACAAGGAGTGAGTGAGTGAGTTTAGTTTTACGCCGCACTCAGCAATATTCCAGCTATATGGCGGCGGTCTGTAAATAATCGAATCTGGACCAGACAATCCAGTGATCAACAGCATGAGCATCGATCTGCGCAATTGGGAACCGATGACATGTGTCAACCAAGTCAGCGAAACTGACCACCCGATCCCGCCCGGACAAGGAAGGTTTGACAAATTGTAATTCGGTTTCAGCAACCTTAACCATATATGGTCGTCAAGGGCAGTCAGTGACATTGTTCTGGAATCAAACACAGGGCGTCCGGGACTTCACCATCAAGGATCAAAACCAGGAGAAAACATTAATTAATGTTTCAAATTGCAACACCGTAACATTTTCCAACTATTGGAAGGAAAGATCGCCACAATTCACTGGAAACTTAACACCCTCAGGAGTTGGCTTGTTCAGGTTTGTCCTACATGATCTGCAGCTGACTGATGCTGGCAAGTACATATGCTTAAAAAGTGGACCCGGAAGGACCTGGATTCCTGGTTGTGGAGTGGATCTGGTTGTCATACGTATGTACAGTACATTGTCATGTTTATGTTATATATAAGTGGGGGTGAAAGGTCATTGATAACAGTACAAACCCAACAAAAGCAATTTGCCATTCAACTATAGGGGTTGCTGTGCCAGATTAGATTAAAATGCATCAAGAAGTCAAACACGGTGACGTGACTGACTTCATCTGGTACCCTGACAGTGTATCAGTGTTTAAAACTCACAGAATTCCAAGCCAGACAGCCGGACTTTAAAAATTACCAGTCCGGATACAAACTTGCCTGTCCGGTTTTCAACAATGTATAAAATCAGGTTTCTGAATACTTTACTGTTTGTAGGCATCGCAATGAACAACACAGCACTAACAGGCAATTCACCGAGTTTAGGTAAACTGAAAGTACGTGTGTTGTGATTGGTTATTGTAAAATGAATTGTCAAATCGTAAATAGTTTAACATAATTATCATAATAACTTAAACACCTCAAACTGAATATTTACTGTTAGCGGTAAAAACATCTACCAGACCACAGGACAGGCTACTTTTGAAATTTCACCGTCCGAGATGAAAATAAACCGTTCTGGACGGTCGGGCAGGCGGGGATTTTAAACGCTGAGTGTATCCATCTAAAAATCAGAAATGGTGAATTGATTGATTGCGTGTGGCACCCTGACAGCGTACGTCATACATCGAGAAGTCAGACATGGTGACTTGATTAACTGCATGTGGCACCCTGACAGCGTACGTCATACATCGAGAAGTCAGACATAGTGACTTGATTAACTGCATGTGGCACCCTGACAGCGTACGTCTTACATCGAGAAGTCAGACATGGTGACTTGATTAACTGCATGTGGCACCCTGACAGCGTACGTCATACATCGAGAAGTCAGACATAGTGACTTGATGAACTGCTTGTCGTATTCCGACAGTGTTTCCTTCACTGGTTGTATCAGTCACTGGCCTTTCTTGCCCTGACCTGATTATTAACAGCTTGCATGATATAGATAAAATCCATTCCATTTAGTACATAACGTAGACACCAGATTATAACTAGTATTGGTTATCCGGCAAAACAGTAGCGCAAAAATAACTGAATATTGCATCAACGAATCACCTAAAATCTGCGATGACGTTGTACATGTGCAAAAGCATGACTCTGAGTTGATGCTGACATAACCATTCTTATTTTCCAGAGATTCAGACACATTTTCTGGTTGTCCCCGACCTCGTGGCTCCTGACAGCAACAGCATGCACCTGTCATGTTATACCTCCATTTTGCCACAACACCTGCATCCAGGGGTAGTATTTACTTGGCGGGAGAATGGCGTTGTACTGGCGGGGATAAAAGGTATGGTATGGCCGCAAACATGGAGATCTGGAATGCATGGAAATACTTCTACAGCAGATTGACCATCACCGGTGTGGAGAAGAAGGATTGCTGGCGCCGATACTCCTGTCAGGTTGAATTTGCGGGTCAGATTATGTCAAACTGGAGCAAAGAATACATCCTGGGAGAAGACTGTAAGTATATAACTGTTGCATTCGGGGCGGTGGGGTAGCCTAGTGGTTAAAGCGTTCGTTCGTCACGATGAAGACCAGGGTTCGATTCCCCACATGGGTACAATGTGTGAAGTCCCTTTCTGGTGTCCCCTGACATGATATTGCTGGAATATTGCTAAAAGCGGCGTAAAACTACACTCACTCACTCACTCACTATGTGTTCATTATACTGAACTAATTAATATAATTAATTCCAGAGGAAACAAAGGTTGCATTACACCGTGCCTTTTACATTCTGATTTAGGATTTTACTGAGAGTTGTGACTGGAGTGCAAGCAAATGGTTAGCTTGCACATTGTAAAACTTGTGCAGCTTGTTTTGAAATTGTGACATTTGTGTGAATAGTCCTTTCTCACTCGTCGGCCATTACTCGCAAAAACGAGGCTCGGTATACACAATGTTTACTTCCGGTATTTCAAATATGTGTGAATAGTTAGCAACAATCGAGCAACATATCAGCAGGGGACTCCGGGAACATCAGTTTCAAACATTATACCATGTGGGTAGTCGAATCTGGGCCTGAAGAGCGAACGTCTGGCATTTGTGAACCCTGCCAACACCCCAATTTAAGTCATAGGGACTTTAGGCTAAGATAATTGTATGGTGTCATGTTATAATTAGCTGTTTGTTCTTTTACAATGGAAGTATTTTACAATATTTCATGAACTTACGACCATTGCTGAATAGTCGCATATGTATCAAACAACAGCGTTTACAGTGTGAACAGTTTAAACTGGAACCATGAGCTTGGGCTTCAGATTCGAACTTAGAGGACAAGGGCGTCACAAGTGCTCGTGAAGGAACTGACGCCGTGATGATCTTCAAAATGCCCCAACTCGAGTCAGATGTGGATATCAAGTCTCCTGCTGGTGAAACCGTCATTCAAGTGAAACCTTCAAACACCTATGCGTGGCGAAGTATGACAGTCAGATGGGCGATTGCGCAAGTTATCGCATCCTCTTCGTCAACCACCGCCCATGTCGTGCTGACCAATGTCACATCCGCCGACGTAGGCATGTACAGCTGCGTAACGACAGATGGAAGTCTGGTTACTGATTGTGGTCGTCGTCTCGACCTCGTAAACACAGGTGCGTTGGAACCTCTTGGATATCCGAAATAACAGTTAAATTTACTATTTCTTCCTTAAGTGGCATTTCGAAGCTGTTATGATAGGAATAGTTTTTGTGGATAGACAGCTTCTTTACTGCAAAAGATGTTTCGGTGTAGGTCCAAACACCGTTACCAACACATCTACTGTAATAAAGAATTTGTCTATCCATTAAAAGAGTTCCTGTTTAATTTTACCATTATATGAAACTTACAACCAGTGTGGCTTGGGAGGGAGTTGTTCTCAAGTGACCTATGACCTGTATGAAGTGATTCCGAAGCTCCTCAGGCTGTTTTTAATTAGATGATTTGACGTCATGATGGCTTGGGACGTTGCTCTAAATTCAACCCCTAGCTGAAACTAGATTATGTACAGACCGTCCTTCTGACAGGGCTGGGATGGAGTAAATCAACATTCATTTCATTCAGGCTTTGGTTAAATATGCGTGCCAATTCTTCAGATCAGGCATACTATGTATTTCCAGAATATGAAAATCCCATATCTGCTTGTTTCACAATACCACAGTAACATGTTGAGACCTAAATGAATACCTTCACGGCATTCCACTTACAGTGATGCCAAGGACAAGTATCCATGGAAATCAGACCTGCAGTCTGGACAAAGCACCGACACCCTTGCCTCCTACTGTTGCTGCTGCAGGTTCGTTGAACTTAAAACATAGTTAGTGAATGAGTGAGTGGGTGGGTGAGCGAGTGAGTGAGTTTAGCTTTACGTCGCACTCAGCAATAATCCGCTCTTAGCGTTAATCGAGTCTGTGTATATATATATACACTAACTTGGGGAAACCAACTGCAAACGTCATTCAGATGAATTGCTCGAGGATCTTGCATCAAATTGCTGAAAAAAGCATGTGCAAATATCGTGCATGTGCACTGCTGCATTTTGGTGTAAAGTTTTGTTGAGAATTCGCCAATTTTCACTGATTTTCATCATTTATTGAACTCATTACAATAATCTTTTCAAAGTTACAAATTTGTTTTACAATACATCAGTTCAAGTGTAAACAGTACCTATAAACAGTATGGAATGTTTGGCAAAATCAAGTTTAGAACAGTTGCCTGAAGTAAGTAGCTACATTTACACTAGTGTGTCTAACCTTTTGATGGTTAGGCTATAACTCTCGCCTTACAAATACGAAACTGATATTCTCAATATATGTGGACTGTGTCATGTTTTAAAGCATCCACTGTCACATTTTGCACTATGAGCATGGTTTCCAAGAGTAAAGTCCCTAAATTGCCTAAAATATGTACATTATTTATGATAACCATTGCATGTACTGTGTAATAGTGCTGTCTTAACTTTAATAATTATTATATTTGTTGTCTGTATGATAAATGAGTGAGCAGAGGCTTTCAGTTGTATTCCCTCAATCTTGTCACGTGTCTATGTAATATTAATACAGTTATGTCTTCTCATGTTACAGATGGATGTGTCTTCTCGGCCCTGGCCTTTGTCGGATCCTTGGTTGCAGCCATGGTTTATTCAAACTGAAGTCATTGCTGTCGTTGTCGCTCAGACTAAAGTCATTGCTGTCGTTATGTCGCTCAGACTAAAGTCATTGCTGTTGTTGTTATTTGCTGTTGTTGTCTCTCAGACTGAAGTTATTGCTGTCGTTGTCTCTCAGACTGAAGTTATTGCTGTCGTTGTCTCTCAGACTGAAGTTATTGCTGTTGATTGGCTGTTGTTGTCGCTCAGACTGAAGTTATTGCTGTTGTTATTATTTGCTGTTGTTGTCTCTCAGACTGAAGTTATTGCTGTCGTTGTCTCTCAGACTAAAGTTATTGCTGTCGTTGTCGCTCAGACTGAAGTCATTGCTGTTGATGTTGCTCAGACTGAAGTTATTGCTGTCGTTGTGGATCAGACTGAAGTCATTGCTGTTGTTATTATTTGCTGTTGTTGTCTCTCAGACTGAAGTTATTGCTGTTGTTGTCTCTCAGACTGAAGTTATTGCTGTCGTTGTCTCTCAGACTAAAGTTATTGCTGTCGTTGTCGCTCAGACTGAAGTTATTGCTGTTGATGTTGCTCAGACTGAAGTTATTGCTGTCGTTGTGGATCAGACTGAAGTCATTGCTGTCGTTGTTGCTCAACTGAAGTTATTGCTGTCGTTGTCTCTCAGACTCATAGTTATTGCTGTCGTTGTCTCTCAGACTGAAGTGCTGTCGTAGTCTCTCAGACTGAAGTTATTGCTGTCGTTGTTGCTCAGACTGAAGTTATTGCTGTCGTTGTCTCTCAGACTCAAGTTATTGCTGTCGTTGTCTCTCAGACTGAAGTTATTGCTGTCGTTGTCTCTCAGACTGAAGTTATTGCTGTCGTTGTTGCTCAGACTGAAGTTATTGCTGTCGTTGTCTCTCAGACTCAAGTTATTGCTGTCGTTGTCTCTCAGACTGAAGTTATTGCTGTCGTTGTCTCTCAGACTGAAGTTATTGCTGTCGTTGTTGCTCAAACTGAAGTTATTGCTGTCGTTGTCTCTCAGACTGGAAGTTATTGCTGTCGTTGTCTCTCAGACTGAAGTTATTGCTGTCATTGTCTCTCAGGCTGAAGTCATTGCTGTCATTGTCTCTCAAACTGAAGTTATTGCTGTTAATGTTGCTCAGACTGAAGATATTGCTGTCGTTGTGGTTCAGACTGAAGTTATTGCTGTCGTTGTGGCTCAGACTGAAGTTATTGTTGTTGATGTTGCTCAGTCTAAAGTGATTGCTGTCGTTTTCTCTGAGACTGAAGTTATTGCTGTCGTTGTCTCTCAGACTGAAGTTATTGCTGTCCTTGTCTCTCAGACTGAAGTTATTGCTGTTGATGTTGCTCAGACTGAAGTTATTGCTGTTAATGTTGCTCAGACTAAAGTAATTGCTGTCGTTGTTGCTCAGACTGAAGTTACTGCCGTCATTGTCTCAGACTGAAGTTATTGCTGTCGTTGTCTCCCAGACTGAATTTATTGCTGTCGCTGTCTCTACTGTGTTATACGTGCTATACGTATATTGTATAAATGCTGTGCTATAACTAATGTATACTGCGAATCTGTATCTCTCATCTGGAAATATATTTTCAACCGTATCCATTAAAATGTTCTAGAATTATGTTTGTATTGTTGCTATATTCAAATCCTGTTTTTATGCACGACAGTGAACGATGACCCAGACGTGAAGGGTTCTGCAATTCGTTGTTGAGAGAACCCGTGAAAATCCGGGTTGGAATTGATCTTCAGTAACCCATGCTTGTCGTAAGAGGCGACCAACGGGATCGGGTGATCAGGCTCCCCTGACTTGGTTGACACATGTCATCGTATCGCAATTGTCTCAATTGCTCATTCTATTGATCACTGGATTGTCTGGTCCAGACTCGATTATTTACAGACCGCCGCCATATAGCTGGAATATTGCAGAGTGCGACGTAAAACTACACTCACTACTACATCTTGAAACGGAATACGTATTTTAACTGTTATGATTAGGGGTATACCTGATTACACGTCTCCTTGACTTGGAATTTATACTCGTATCCACTAAAGCAGAGGGCATGGGTTGATATACATACTTATTGCGCACATGTCATAAAGTGTTCTACAGTCAGTATCTGTAACGACCAGACTTCTTATGAAACACTTTCTGTGAAATTGAGTTCTGATGGACAATGTACAATACTCACAGTCGTGTACAGACCCCCTAGGCTGCCACAAGGAACTGGACAGTAATGTTTCCTCAGTGAGTTTGACAGGCTATTAGATCAATTGACCATTCCGCCAGGAAAGTTGATCATTTGTGGAGATTTTAACTACCATGTCAATGATGCAACTGACAGAGAATCACAGAAGTTCCTGAAGGTGCTTGAGTCACGTGACCTGATCCAGGACGTAGTAGAGCCTACCCATATTGGAGGTCATACTTTGGACTTGGTTATTTCCCGTGATGACGTCATGTCAGGAATATAAGAACAGACTTTCCCGTCAAATCTGACCACTTCGCAGTTCTTTTTAGGAAGAGAAGGGATATCAGGACATGACAGTCAGTGAATCTGTTAACTTGTTTAATCAGTCAGTGGCCAGAACCCTAGATTCACATGCTCCTGTAAACAGTTCACCCACATGAACAATGGTACAACGACCAAATCCGTGATGCAAAGCAAAAGCGTCGGAAGCTTGAGAAGCAGATGCGACAGACTGGACTTACTGTCCACAAGCAGATGCATGCTGCCCAGAGAAACCAAGTGAATGAGCTTGTTCACCAGTCCAGCCATTACAATGCTGCTTTTGAAAACGCAGGGTGTCAGAGAGATATTTCACATTTCTAATCAACTTCTCTTCAAGCAAAAGACAAGATCTCTGCCTAAAGTACTGTCGGAAATGCTAGAAAAATGCTTTTTAGCCTTAATATCTTTATAAAGGTGATAAATGTACTATGTTGTCAATATATCAACTCGCCTATTGTCTACCAAATTTATATTTCAATCGATTTAACATTCCCATGCATTTAAAGGGCAGTTTACAGGAGAGAATTTGGTACCAAAACAGCAACTTAATATTTTTTCAACAACAGAAATCTGAAATAGTCTTTACATTTATGCTAATAATACAGGTGGTGTAAAAATATGAAATAACGTTTTTCCTAAACAAATAAATATTCAATGTTTGTGTTACTTTACTTAATTATCGTTTCTTTATTGAAGAAATATTATTATAAATCTTAAGTCTTGATAAATACGTTTCCCGTCATGCATGCACATCTTTATCACAGCGTCCACTATGGCCAACTATTTGCAGTGGATTCTTGCAAAGGTTTATAGTTTTTTCTGCTTAAAGAAGACAGAGGTAAACCTTTCATTAGTTTAGAAAGGGTTTATTACAGAACTTGTAGAGCTGTTGGCATGTCTTACCAACAAGTTTACAATATTGTTAACAAATCAGACAAGACAGGGACCGTCTCAAATGCAAAACCGGGACGTAAAACCATCCTTGACAACCCTGACAAGGGAGTGCTTAGACGGGCGGTCTACAAACTTTATGAGAAGAAAAATATACATATTCTAAAGAAGCTACACCAGTGACTTTGTTAAATCGTTGGCCAATGTTCACAACTAGATTAAACTGACCGAATTACATCCATATGTTTTCAATGAAATATACTGTTGACATGCAAAACATTTATTAAAACGTTGCACTTTTCTACAATCAATCGATAAGATAACACAAGTGATTGGACTCTTTCCAATGTACAGTAATTCGTATGTTTATTTCAAAACAAACACACATACACAAATGATCCCTTACATAACCGATACGTATACTATACGTATACATATTCAACATTTTGCAGAAAACTTCTATTGAGATGACCCCTCGCCCGATCGCGTGCTCAGGTGTCAATTTCACCTGTCGATACCGTGGATGCTGATGCCGTAACACCGGCAATTAATTTATTTTTCTAAGTTTTTGGTATTTTTACACATTTTAGGGGATGTCTCACAATTTATTCTCTCGGTCTACATTAGGTAGGTGTTTCTTGAAGTGATATTTGTTATTTAAGTAACTGTAATACCTCTGAATTTTAAATATAAGTCAAAAAGCATTTTTCTAGCATTTCCGACAGTACTTTAGCACCAAGTCAATGGATACAATGGTGAATCAATTCTCAGATTTCTTCACTGAGAAGATTAGGACAATACGTTCATGTCTGCTGAACATTGATGCAAGCAACAGGAACTTTACATCAACAGAAGTGCTATTCAGTGGTACTTCATACCTCACATGCTTTTGCTCCACATCAGCAGAAAAGTCAGACAACTAATAATGAAGAGTCCATCCAAGTCATGTGCTCTCGATCCAATGTCAACTCACATTCTCAAGGAATGCCCAGAATCTGTCATTCCAATTCTCACTCATGTCATAAATCAATATTTTGATGAGTGTTTTGTACCACCATTGTTAAAAGAAGCATTTGTAACTCCTTTGCTAAAGAAATCTCAGCTCGACCATGAAGTGATGCAGAACTATCGGCCAGTATCGAACTTGCTCTTCATTTCAAAACTAATCGAGCGATGTGTGGCGAAGAGACTTTATGATCACATGACCCTCAACAGATGTCACGAGGTGATGCAGTCAGCCTATAAACAAGGCCATAGCACCGAGACTGCATTGGTCCGGGTTCAAAACGACATTCTACAATCAGTAGAGAATGATGGAGCTGCCATTCTTGTGTTATTAGATCTTTCCTCCACTTTTGATACCATCGACCACAGAGTGCTTCTTCATACATTGGAAAAGAGACTTGGTATCACCGACAAAGCTATATCTTGGATTGAGTCCTATATCTCTAGACGGCACCAATCCGTTCACATTGATGGTACAACATCGAAGAAAGAAGACCTGCTCTTCGGAGTTCCACAGGGATCAGTCCTTGGTCCGATCCTGTTCACAATGTACACTTCATTCGAAACTATAATCTGCAATTCCATCTGGATGCATATGACACCCAATTGTAAATATCTTTTAGACCACAAAGTAAACCATCAGTTGAATTCTCCTTTGCTGTCATAAGTAAATGTGTTTCTGATATCCGTGAATGGATGGCTATCAACTTTTGGAAGCTTAATGATGACAAGACAGAGCTCCTCATTTTCAGTCAAAAATCCAATTTGAGATATCTCTCACTGCCGGCTTTCAAAATTGGTGACAGTATCATAGAACCAAGTAAAAAGGCTTGCAATCTGGGAGTAATTCAGGACTCTGTTTTTTTCACTTGAAGACCATATCAGCCAAATCTGCAAACAGGCATACTACCATATCAGGAACATTGTTCTAATAAGGAAGTATATAAACACGTGTGGCTGCATCACTCATCCAGGCATATGTCTTATCCCGTCTGGATTATTGCAAAGCAGTCTTGGTTGGGTTACCCAAACAACGAATTGCAAAGTTACAGCGGGTACAAAATTTAGCTGCTAGAGTTATCTCTCGAACCGGCAAATATGAGCACATAACTCCAGTTCTGATGCATCTGCATTGGCTCCCAATAGTCAAACGGATAGAATTTAAGATTCTTGTGCTTGTATACAAAGCTTTTAACGGTATTGGCCCATCATACATCAACGAACTGATCAAGTGCCATCAACCCTCCCGTTCCCTACGTTCTAGTAGTGCCCAGCTACTAGTTGTGCCACGTACGAGGATAAAGACATTTGGAGACAGATGTTTCTCAAAAGCAGGTCCTATGCTTTGGAACAACATCCCATTGGGCATAAAAAGTGCAGAGAAAATCTGTGCATTTAAGAGAATGTTGAAAACATTCTTTTTCAAATCATGTTACAGTTCCGAGTGACTCTTTCCTTGTCAGACTCATACGAAAGCGCCTTTGAGCAGGACTCATCTGGATACTGGCACTATATAAATCTCTATATATTATTATTAATATGTTTTACAGATTAAAGATAGTATGCAGCAGAGAGGGTTCGGGTGATCCTGGCACAGTCAGGCTGGTAAGGCTCATCATCAGCTCAGGGCCCTTGCCCCCTCTACACGCAGCCCAGACAGCGAATGGGATTTCTCCCTAGTCGAACCCACCAAGAACTTTCCGGAGAATATGAAGGCTCCCCAACACTCCAGCCTTCTGCATTACCCAGAGTGTCAGAAGGGCTGTACTCCCGGTGGAGAACCCGGGCACTCTCTTGATCTGCGCCAAGAGATCAGGAGGTACCAAACCAAGGGCACTGAGAAATAATGGGGAGCCTGACGACAGTGTACTTGGGATGCAAGCGAGACATTTCAAAGGCGAGGTCAGCATATTTATCATGCTTTTCCTGAATCTTACCAATCACATTGGTGTCAAAAGGGACAGAAAATTCAATGATATAAATAAATTCATTGGCTTTATCAAAAAGGACAGGATCAGGTTTGTTGGCTGGAATTCTTCTGAGGCTGTATATGGGCCTATTCCAGAAAAGTTTGAAAGCATCATTTTCCATGACGCCCTGGACATGTTCAGGATCGTACCATGGATGGACCTCGGAGTCAAAGCCACAGGCATGTCGGAGACGGTAGTAAAAGCAACGTGCCATGCCATGAT